GAAATACAAATTTAGATTTTTATATCACATCTGTAAGATTTGGAGTGCTAAAAATTCATGATTTAAGAAAATGGAATATGGGGAACCACACAGTGGCTAAGTAAAGACTGACCAACTGAATGAGACCAAAGGTCGATTAATCACATTTTCGTGTGTTTCCAAAAATGGTCTGGCACATGATTGGCGTTCAAAGATAGATTACCTGGGGAAAAGGTGGATCAGGGGTGGGAGGATTTGCACGGATTCAGGCGATCCTCTAGCTAGCATTCTGCCCAGTTCGGCAAACCCCCAAATGTCCCCCCTGGCTGGCCACGCCCACCTCATCTCACTCCTCCCAGGACTCTCCCATTCAACATGGCAGGTAAGTGCAGGGCCTACACAGAGGCTCGGGGAGGGGGGAAATGGACCTACTGGAGGTTTGGGAAATCTGGAAATGGGCCTGTTTCTGGCCTCCGGAGGGCCTCTGGAACCCAGGGGAAGCAGTTTTTGCCCTCCCAGAGGCTCAAGGAAAGCCTCCGGAGCCTGGGAAGGGTGAACCCTGCCCCCCGTGGTGCAGGAGGCCGACTAGACCACGCCCACCCAGCAACAGAGCAGTGAACCCGTTGCTGCAATTTTTGAAGCCCACCCCTGAGGTGGATCCACATAGCTAACATGCTCGAAAAAAGATCTAGATCAAGTCATTAAGCCCTGCCCTCAGATTCCAATGAAAGCCAATCAGATGTCTTTAGGAGGCCAATAAAAGCCATAAAGGGAAAGTCAGTTGCTGTTGAATACAAAAACTCCATTTTGCTATTAATGTCAGGAAACACATACTAGAACTTTGAAATGAAATTTGCACCCTCAAGTCAGTCTTGATTCCTGGCAATTATCTGGGCATATTCTTGGAAATAGTTTACTATTGCTTCCTTCCTGGGGCTGAGAGAGGGACTGGCCCAAAGTCAGCCAGCTGGCTTTGCATCTTAGCCAGAACTACTCCACTTGACTCTCTTACTAAAACTTTACTAATCTAGATCATAATAGTAGAATCTTGAAAGTCACCTCTCCATCTTATACCAAAGAAAGTCAAGGCAGGGCAATCTGGAGAGTGTTTCTCACACTTTTCTTCATTCCTGGGCATTCGTGTTTCACTAACAATTTTACTACTGACAAAGCTATCCCTGCTCATCTCTATAGTCATGTCCAAAAGACATACATTGGCCTCTCCTTTACTGTGAACCATTTACTAACGAGCAACTTTATTTTGTTTACAGAAGCATTTGTGCCTTCAGGAACAGAATGGAAAGGGTTACTGATCAAGGGGTTAGAGTTTAAGGGTCTAGGACTGTTCACCTCCTACCCTTCACCACCCCTTGTTCGCCTCCAGGGTTGGCAACCCTAACCCCCCCCCCCCGAAGAAACTCGACACGTAACACTTTCTCCCTCCCTCTCTCTCTTTCTCCCTTCCCTTCCTCCAATTGGGTGGTGGTGAACTGGCTCCTGAGCCCAAAAGGCTGGGGTGAGCAGTATTTCGCCAAATGGCCTGTGACAAAGGGCCTGGGACTGAAGAGGCTGGGTCCCATTGCCCAGGGTGAACAGCTAGGGTCCTTTCAGCGGAGGAGAAATGGCAGAGGTTAATGCCTGGGGGTGGAACCCTGGGGGCGAACAGTCCCATTCTCGAGTCTAACCGTTAGACCAAAACCGGAAAGATCCAAGTTCCTATTAAGCCACAACTATCACAGTTGACTAGTGTCAGTTAATACTTCTGTAAGACATGCTACCTCCCAAAGTTTGTTGAAGGATAATATGGGGGAAGGGGGAAAGGAGGGAGGAATTAATTAAATAAGCTGCCTGGAATGTGCGTAATATCTAAACTCAGACCAGGAAGACGCACCTTCAACTCATCCTCAGCCATGGAAACTCACTGGCTACTTCTCTCACCAAACCTTCCTTGTTGCGGAAATAAAGTTGAAGCTTCTTTATGGGAAAATAGAATCAAGGAGTAACACCCACAATGCAGACTGGATGGTTGAGAGATGATTTATACACATATGCAATCAACTTTATATCCTACTTTTCTTCTAAGACCTCAAGGTGATCGTGGTAGTTTTAACTTCATAACAATCCTACCAATTACAGCAGGTTGATCTGGGAGATGGTGAAGGACCCTAAGTCACCTTTCATTAAGCTTGAAAGGTTGAGAGCGGAGTTGAATCTAATCCGGTGTAACTTTTAAAACTGCAACCCACCCGTTCCGTTGCTTTGCTTTCCCATCCTCTTCTATTGTACAGTAACTGCACTCCCATTCTGCCCCCAGTAGTTTATTCCAGCTGCTACCTGAGGAAGGCTTTTCAAGACACTAGTCCACAAGATATATGGGACTTATTTATCCACCCACCCCAACGCTGCTCACACCATACCTTGATGTCTTCCAGAGGTCTTGTCAGCTTTGCTCTCTTGCGCTGTTGGCATTGCTTGTGAAGGGAGGAAAAAAAGGGAAGCAGTAAAAGTTCCTTCTTTAAAAAAATCTGTGAAGGGTGGGAGGAAAGAAACGGAAGTGCTGGGGGGGGGAAAGGCCCAGTTACTCAACCTCCTGAAAAGTCAGCACAGAGAAGTGTCGGCCATTGTCAAGGGGCTGAACTTCACATTTTGGGGTTTGGTCACATCTTTGCAAACAAGTTTCCTAAAATATGAATTGGTCCTTTGGAGGTGAGCGGCTGTTGTGGCCCGCCAGCAGCCAGCAGAGCTGGCAGCAGATTCGGACAGGGAGGAGGTTGGGGAGGAACATGGACCAGTCCTGGAGTCTGGGGAAGGCTCTGATGAGGGCTCTGTGTCAGAGACAGAGAGGGGGCCAGAGCCATGTGCCAGTTATCAGCTGCCTTCGGAGTCAGATATCAGTGAGGCAGATGAACAGCTGGAGCCTGTTTCCGGTGTGCGCATGTGCAGAATTGCCAGATGAATGGAACAGCCATAGAACAGGGGTCGACTTGGGAGTAAGGCCACAGGTGAATGATGAATGGCCCCTCCCAGAGGAAATAAAAGAGGAGAGAAAGGGGAGTGGAGTTTGCAGGAGGCAATTAGTTCGCTTAATTGGTTCGTGACCCTCCGAGACTCCTTGCCAAGTTTTGCAGATATCAGCCTGGCAGCTCTCCAAGCCAGATCAGGTCTGTGACTGTAAATCCTCCCTTGAAAGACTTTACTGGATGTGAATGGGCAGAATTCACAGTCAATTAATAAAATGATTTTTTTTCAGGACAAGGAGTTGCTTCATGCTCGTGGGAAGCCTGGGTCGGAACAGCAGCTTCAGATCAGAAATCAGGAAAAAAACAAGAATGGAAGCTTGAGAGATGAGAGGCGAGGATGCAGCCAGAAGACATTGGGGGTGGGGGGTCAAGATGCACTCAAATTTGGGGCAGTCCATTGTCAGGCCCAATCTACAGGGAGACTAACACTGAATATGTAGGGGGGAAACTGTATGATGCATGTAAGTCCCCCTCTCACTGCACCTGGGAATTTCCTCCTGCCAGTCAGCTGTTGAAGTGGTTACTGTTAAATACAATTTTAGCTTTCTTCTAAAGATGGGCATTAAACCCGTCTGTCAAGGTTCCAACTAATGAACCCACCAATTCAGCAACTCTGAGCCTTCTTACTTTCTCAAAGAACTGTTTTATTGAGTGACTCATTTCGGCACGATTGAAAACAAAACCACCTCTGGCTATTTCCCATGCTTTCGGTATAATGGATAATTCCCTCCCTCATTGTCACATGTCACATTGTCCAATTTGGTGTTCTGGTGTCTCATTGGCAGCCTCTTCCTGTCTCTGGCCAGCACCTGTTGGGATGACCTTGGTTCCCACGGGATAGTAGATTGCTTTGCCTGGTCTACATTCCAGCCTCTCCGCCCTCCTATACTGTGCGGCAACCTGAGAAACAGAAAGATGGCTGCGACAGGCCCGATCCCTTTTGAAGTTGACACCGTCTTTGAAAATGTTATCAGCCTAATACATGTAGTTGCCATTCCTTCTGTGACCATTTGAAGTGATGATGGTGCTGAACAAAAAGACTTACAGTTGGCCCTCAAAGTTGTGACCATCTCAGTGTCACCATAGTCACACGGTGATTGCCATTTGGGCACTTGGTGGCTAAATCGCGTTTACGACAGATTCAGCATCCCATGTGATTGCCATTTGTGACCTCACTGCCAGCTTCTGACAAGCAAAGTCAGTGGGGAAGCCTACAGGAAATCACAAGTCACGGTCATTACCTGGCACTTAACGACTGTGCCCCATGCACTTAAAGACTGGAACTGGAACTGCCAGAATTGCCATTGCAAATCCACATCGTCATGTGAGTATTTTGTTTTACGACTGTGTCACTTAGCCGTGGAGTTTCCAGTCCCAATTAGGGTCGCTAATTGAAGGCAACCTGTAACAGAGAGGATGGTACAGTACAGTGGTGGGTTGTCAATTTTTTTACTACCGGTTCGGGTGCGCTCACGGGTAGAACCTCCTGCCTCTGCTACTACCGGTTCGCCCGATCCGATCTAAACCGGGATCAACCCACCTCTGGTACAATATTGCCATGAAGCAGGAATCTCTCTGCAGCTGCAATACACACCTGTCACCTATTTTAAGCATGGCTTCCTGTTTTTGGGGGGTTGCTGACCAAGCAAAAGTGGAAACTCTGAATGCTGTAGATGTGTTCCTTCCATTTTTATTTCCTAGCATGCCTCAGAGCTTCCATTGAACAATGTGGAGATGGTTCCTCCTTCGTGCTCAGCACCTGCTCCTTGGCTAAGCTTTTAAGCAGCAAGGGAGCACTTCTTCTAGGTAACTTCCCATTTTCCAGAAAATATCTTCTTAAATGCCTCCAGTGATACGGAGTGATACACCCACAGCTTCTGGAGGAAACCGGTTCCACTGTCAGGAAACTTCTCCTTAGTTCTAGGTCAGTGATGGCTAACTTTTTTTTTGTTGCGTGCCAAAAGTGCATGCACACACACCCCATAATGCAATGTGTGCACGACCACCCACCCCCCGTGGACCCTGCTGTCCCACGCATGTGCAGACGACCTCCCTGCATGGGCCTGGCCCCATGTGCATGCACATGCGATCTCCCATGCTTCCCCCGCCCGCCACGCATGCACGTATGACTCTACCACCACATGCCTCCTGCTCATGCACGCATGACCCCTGCCCTCCCGTACATGCATGCACATCTCCCATATGTGCCCCCCCCGCTTATGCGCGGCAGAGGCCCCAAAACCAGCTGGCTGGCGGGAGGCGCACACGTATGTGCGGTGGAACTGAGCTGGGGTGATGGCTCGCATGCCCACAGAGAGGGCTCCGCGTGCCACCTGCGCCATAGGTTCCCCATCAAGGTTCTAGGTTGTTCTAGTTCAGAGTGAAGTTTGCCTTTCTCAGACACAACAGAAATGCTGGGAAGATCAAAAACAAATACGTTTGCTGTTGGAAGAAATATCCATCTGGTTCAGTTCCAAGCTGGGAGAAAGACAGTGGAAACATGGAGGCTGATTGGAAAGATGGTTTAATGGTGAAGCAGAACCACCAAGCACATGTGATTCTGGGTAGATGACCTCATGGAGTTGAAAGTGAGGGATATTTATACCTTCTCTTGGGCTTTACACTTGAACTTCCTGTTCCTGGTCAGGAACACGTGTATTCTATTGGCTATGGTAGGGGTCATAGTTACTCCTATAGGTTGTCCCAGGTTTGGTTGAAGTTTGCTGGGTGATGCATTGTCCTTAGGAGATTGTGCAATGTGGTGAGCTCTGCTGCTAGTGGGTTAATCCTATTATCTCCTGGGTGGGGGCGCATGTCATAATCCCATCATACAATGCAATACAATAGCAGAGTTGGAAGGGACCTTGGAGGTCTTCTAGTCCAACCCCC